CCCAGCTGTCCTGGAACTCACTATGTAGACCAGGCTGGCCTGGAACTCAAAAAGATCCACCAGCCTCTGCCTCCCAAGTGCTGGAATTAAAGGCGTGTGCCACCACGCCTGGTTCTACTTCTTTTCTTAAAGCCAGCTCTTTGCCTTTTGGTTGCCACTCACCATGCTTACAAGTCCTTCCTCCCTCTCACAGAAGGAGCCATGGTGAATATGCTCTGCTGCCTTCCAGTCGCCTCTCTTATACTCACACCCTCTATTCTCCTCCTCCTCCTCTTCCTCTTCCTTTAGGGTCCGCTGTCTCAGTCCAGCCCTGCCTGTGGGAATTCATAGTGGTCCATATAAACAGGCTTAACCATGGATTGCATTCCCAGCCAGAAGCAGAGAAGCATAAATTCACAAGCAGGGGTCAGGAATATCAAATACAGGAAAATCCAGTTTTGACAAACAGTTTACTGCGATTAACCCTCGGTCATGTCAGTAATTGTGAGTGCCATTCCATTGTAGTCCTAGCACATGAAGGCAGCCAAGTTTTGACCTTGGAAGAGCATGTTTCCTTTTTTAAAAAAATAAATGAGGGGCTGGAGAGATGGCTTAGCAGTTAAGAGCACTAATGGCTCTTGCAGAGGACCTGGGTTCGATTCCCAGCACCCACATGGCAACTACAAACCATCCTTAACTCCAGTTCCAGGGGAACCTGAAGCCCTCTTCTGACCTCCACGGCATTGCACAACGCAGGTGCACTCACATATATGCAGGCAATACACTCATACACATAAAACGAAAATAATAAAATATTTAAAAAAATAAATGAATAAAAAAATTATTGGCCAGGTGTGGTGGAAATGCCCTTAATCCCAGCACTCAGGAGGCAGAAGCAGGTGGATCTCTGTAGTTCAAGACCAGTCTGGTCTACAAAGCAAGTTCCAGGCCAGCTGGGGCTATAGGGAGACCCTGTCTCAAAAAAATTGTATATATTGAACTTATTGAACCACCCTTGTGGAGCAAGGGTCTTTACCCACTGAGCCATCTTGCCGGCCATTTATTTATTTATTTATTTATTTATTTATTTATTTATTTATTTATTTATTTATTTTTGGTCTTTTTGAGACGGTCTCCCTGTAGCCCCAGCTGTCCTGGAACTCACTATGTAGACCAGGCTGGCCTTGAACTCACAGAGATCCGCTTGCCTCTACCTCCAGAGTACTGGGAGGCTTAAAGGCATGCGCCACCACTCCTGGCTTTGTTTTTATTTTTTTGAGACTGGATCTCATGTAACACTGGCTGATTTCAAACTCACTACATAGCTGAGGCTAGCCTTGAACTCCTGATCTACCTGCCTCCATCTCCCAGATGCTGGGATTGTAGGCATGTGCCACCACTTACAAATGGAATGTTTCTTTTTTTGTAAGTAATTTTAA